AATTAGGAAGTTGGATTGACTACATAAATTTCCTTGCCAAGTCGTCTTCCCACAATTGTAAAGTCGACTTGACAACATGAATTATCTCGACGAGTTGACATCGTGAATTCCAAAAGCAGACTTGATGACATGTTATCTCGCCAAGTCGTCTCGCCAAATTAGGGAGTCGACTTAACTACATAAATAATCTCACCTAGTCGACATAGGGACTTCCTAAAGCAGACTTGATGTCATGAAATATCTCGCCAAGTCAAAGTTGACTTGACTACATCTTTTATCAAGTTAAATCGACTAAAATGCTTTATATGTCGACTAAATATGAAAAATTATCTCGGTATCCGAACAAGTCGGATGGCATTCCCAGAACTCTGAACTCCCTGCATCATAGCATAGAGTTTCTCGCAAATGAATGTTTGAAAAAATTTAACATATATCATACATAAATATTGACTTACAAATTGCGTCAAAAAAAGAAAGAGGTCTTTCTAAGTCAAGAACCTGTAAGAGTTATTTCAGACTTTCTTTTACATTCCGCATGGGATTGGCCAACCTGAGAATGTCATGTATTTTGTTGAGGTACAAAACAGGACCTCCAAAAAGTACAAAGTACACACCACCAACATGCCATCGGCGTGGTAAGTTTACTTGCCAACTACAGAAGATAATACGTATGTCTAGATACAGAAGCCGCCAACCACACTGACGCATTCAGGCTGTCAGTTGTAGCCAGATAAATTCTCGGTCCAGCCCACTCAGTATGACCTTGCTACTCCTAGAAGCGTATGGTATTCTATAACTGCCAAAATTGCGTCGCGTCGTCCCATCGCCCTGACACCACGGCGCGATGCTACGACAGCTCTGTCGCGTCGTACCGTCGCGTCGTGTCGTCGTCCGTCGTATCGTGCCGTCGTGCCTGACTGTTTCTAAAATGGCTGGTGAATACTAAGGCCAATAGAGGGCGTAAGTCCCGGAAAAATGTGCGCGCATAGGGTTACACTCATTGATCTCCATTGGGTGCGTTCGATTAGCTTACACGTGTAAGTCAAACTTACACGAGAGCGTTTGTTTAGCCATCACGTGATCCTCGTGCCTGCCCTGGTGTCAGCCACTACTACCCCGGCTGGTGAGCGGGTCTCTGGAGGCTGCCCGAGTGTAATGACGTCACGAAAGGACTGTTCGTGCATGGACGTACATGATGGAACGTGGTGGGGACTTGACCTTTTTCCCAGAATGCCTTGGCGAGTACACTGCAGCGTTCAATTACCCTCATTTCGAGGCTTCCCTTGAGTGCAACACTGCTGTATTCAGGGAAGCTAATCGAACGCACCCATTATAAAGACTGGATAGGACATCGCGTCCAAAACGCGTCCCGCATGTGCATATTTTCAGGAAGGCAAATAACAAGCGTTGCGAATTTTGTTGCGTACACTTTCAAATGGAGATTTGAAAACTGCTGGTTGAGGTTATTGCACTTTAATCGACAGATTTCGAAGAAAAACTGAATTCTGCCCCCGGAAAGGATAAATTTGGAAAGAATAATGGTTGAGGTGTGCGTAGCAGAGAATTGCCAGAGATCGATGGTAAAATCAAATTTGGAAGAAGGAGCAGCTTTTGACAGGTGAATCGCACATTAAAAATGTTTTTGCACGCCTTGTGCTATAATGCTTGGGACCGTCTGAACTATTATTTATCGGTAAAAGTGGTTTTAAAAAAATTGCGCTTATTTTTACTAGATTTCACTGGAAAAACCTCAAAGAAAACCATTATTTGTGTATGTGATATCTGCAGACGCATTGAACCCAAACCGTCTGACAGACGATGGGTAGAGATGAAACTAGAGCGAGCGACAGAGAGCTGACGTTTTCGTCGACTGAAGTAACAAACAAGGAAATTCAATCAACGCAATGGCGCAACGAAAGAAACTTTGTCTAGATTAAAATAAAATTATTCATTCTCAGTTAACACTGACATTTTTCTTTTCAGAAAGTCGTTGTTAAACGTAAATATTTAGTCAAGTTGGGAACTAAAATTTGATTTATAAATGTCTGTGGTGAAAGTGGCATAACTGCGAGTTTGGCTCGCAGTCAGATTTCTGCTTATTTTGTGCTCACAAAAAAGATTCTCACACTTTATCAGTTTTCAATAAATTTATTCAGTATATGAATGAATTTCAGTGCAGTGTTTCCCATGAGTCTTTAAAATTAAAATTAAGGCTTTTTTCCATTTAATTAATGAAGTTTTCAGTGTTGACTCATTGACAACAGACGGAAAAACACTTGGACATTATAATGTTAAACGTATTGTGGGCCTTGGTGGAACTTTAATGTTTACACACTCAACAAATCACGATTGAACCAACCCAAAGTGACAACATTGCCCGAGCAAGACCGTAGACAAGAGGTGTGAAAAATGAAGAAAAAAACAAAACAATAACAGAAAAAACAGGTTAAATATTATCAGTTTCAATTGGGTTATTTAATAAGAAAATGGTCTGTTAATTCGAGAAGTGATATTCTTGCATTAGAAATTGTTTTCTCCATAATCAATGTTGACTAAATGCGCATACAGCATCACATTACCCTCCTGAAACGCAGCATGTCGCCATTTGTACACACAATGGGTGATGGCCTATTCGGTCTTTAAAATGGAGATTAATGGTTGCACTACACCAAATTCGCGCCCATAGAAAGCAGTGCAAAATCAGGCCAAAATGGCGCCGCGTTTTTTCACTGGAAATTCCAATTATGGCCAGACCAGAAGATCGTTCAATTTTATGGGGGTTGGCCACTTGATTTTTTAAATTCACGTTTCCCCGAGGATACCCCCAAAGAGTAGTAAAACTATGCACTCAGCTCTGAATGTAGCCGCCCGCCTCTATTCAAAATAGGTCCGCAATTCGTGGCTTTTATGAAAGAAATACCCCGAAGTTGAAACGATCAGTCCCAAATTCGGGATTTATAGAAATGTTTCTATGATTCCCTCTTGGTCATGGCATGTGTTATCGTAAAAGCACCGTGGGATCATAAAACATTAATGAGCTCTCGCCCAGGAATCCAACGATTTAGTGGACTGGCCTACAAGTTTTGGATCACGAGAAATGAAAATTGAACTGAACTCTGTCTGTAAGGGTGCCCCCTATTTCTACCAGTAATGAGGCGACGGCACGACGCGACAGCTACAGAACACCATAGGACAGGACGCAACGACGCAACGGCACGACAGCACGACGTAATGCAATAAAAACAGCATAAAAATAATGAGAAAGGAAGCAACGCCACGGCAAAAAAAAGGATATCTCTATTCCGGGATACTTGTCCATTTTGCACGCCATATCGTTGAGGCCAATCAATCCATCAGCTATCAATCATATCGTAACAATGTAAGAGAGAGATAAAATATCACAAATTTGTATTAAAATAATGTGGGTGGGGTCTCTAAAAACCAGAGCTCAGTGACTCCTGGACATAGGGCCTAAACATAACAGTTATCACATGGGACATAAACATAACCCGTCATTGACCTTAATCAGTGGGTCCTATCTGGTCTTTGTCATACGTCAAGGGTGGATCCAGAATCACATTTCTGTGGGACATAAATTTGTTTCATTTATCTCATTCAAAATGTTATGGCCTTTCTATGGGGTGGGATTACATTTGAAGATTTTTACATGCTCGTTTTTGAAGGGAGATGAAATAGAAAAAAATGCTTTCTTTAATCATTTTTCTAAAACATTTTGGTCCTTTTATGGACACGCCTTTGGTTTATAATTGTGGTTGCGACACGTTCGGGATGCAATATTTCTTATCTCAATACTATTGAGATAATCCATGTCCTTTCCTACAACATACGCGGGGATCATACATGCACTACTAGTACTGTGGTTTATTGCATTACATGTCGTCGCTGTGGTAAACTGTACATCGGAGAGACCAAGCGTCGCCTTGGTGACCGGTTCGCGGAACACTTGCGCAGCACTAGTGTGCGCCAACAAACACCTGGTCTCACTGTTGCGCAGCACTTTTGCGCGCCGCCACATACCCTCGGTGACGTAAGCGTCTGCATCCTGTGGAAAGCGTCATCTGATGTACAGCGTAAGGAACTGCAGCAGCGCGTCATTTTCGAACTTGAAACGCTGCATTCAGGGGGAATGAACGTGGATTTTTCCTCGTTCATTCAGAACTGAATCTGCTTGCCCTGAAGAAGGTATACTCAGTTAATACCGAAAGCTCGGCAATCACACATTTCAGAGCACTGATTTGATATTAAATTCTTGTCGATATTCCTTTCCTATTGGACATTTTGATGCCGGTCTTGAGAGGAGACGAGTCTTCAAGCCACTGGCTGTGCAACTTCGTTCCCAAGGGTACGATCTTGCCGCGCCATGTTGTTTTCAACCATTGATCTCCCAGCTGGGGACAACCAGGCCTTGCGTGGCTACGTCACGCGTGCGCGCTAACCAGCGCGTGAACCAACACGCGAACGCACTCCATTTTTGTACCACATTTCCCGGTTCAGAATGACGTCACACTTGAGCACTATTGTATTATTTCAATATCCCACTATGTGCGTTCGATTAGCTTACACGTGTAAGTACAGTCAAACTTACACGAGAGCGTT